GAGGGAGGGGCTTCAAAACATGCTTAGAAAAAACGCATATTGTGTGGGACCAGCAGTTAGCGTAATGGCTATGTCGCTGGACTCCCATGTAGTCGACCACGGTTCGAGTCCCAGACCCAGCGGCTTAAACTCCCTCCGGGTGCGTGTGCATGCATGCCCAAGATCCCAAGAGGAGAATGGAGGAAAAGGGATTGTGGTGTGGCCATCCCCACTGGGGGGAGGGTGATTTCTCACTTTCTGTCTCTCTGTCTCTCTCTGACGCACCCGATAGCAAAAACCTCTCCAAAAAAAGAAAAAAAAAAAAAAAGAAAAGAAAATGCATATTGTGAAAAAAATCTATGCATGGATTTAAGAAAGAAATCAAAATAAACTCATACTTTAATTCCGTTTTCCCACAAACTTCTTTTTAAGGTTTTTGTTGTTGTTTCTTTTTGCCATAGGGCATGTGCACTCACCAGAGTGAGAGAGGCAGTGAGAGGGACAGTGGGAAGTCTCCCCCCAGGGGGATGGCCATGTCATAGTCCCTTCTCCTCAATTTTCGTCCTAGGATTTTGGGTACACATACACACATGCCCAACGTGGTTTTCAAGCTGCTGGGCCCAGGACTCGGACAGGGGTTGGCTATATGGGGGTCCAGCACCTTCACCACCACATCACCTGCTGGCCCGCCACAACTTTTTGAAATCCCCTCATCTATCCATGTGTCTGTCTGAGGTCCCAGACTTACGAGCTCTGGGCTCTATACAACCTATAGGCATATTTCATATGGCTTGTCCTTTTTGAAAGATACATTGATTGGCCCCAGCACCTGAAAATCAGGATGGTCAGGGCCAGCAGGTGGTTAAGATGCTGGACTTTCACATGGCCCATCACAGTTAAGACGCTGGACCCTCACGTGGCCCACCAGACCTGGTGGTTTGCTTTCTCACTCTTCCTTTCTCTCTCTCTCTGGTCAAATTAAAATAATAATAAATCAATTATTTAATTAAACATGTCTTTAAAAAAAAGGAAATCAGGATATTTCACATAAAATCTAGGGTCTGGTGAGCCTTCAACAATAGGATGGCCTGTGACCCGAAGACACTTTCTAAGGGAGCAACGATTGGCTCCAAGTGAGTATTAGCGGCCCTCCGAAGACCCCGCCATTTGCCTCCCGCTCCGCTCCACTGCCGCAGCTCCACTGCCGCAGCTCCACTGCCGCAGCTCCACTGCCGGCAGCTCCACTGCCGCAACTCCACTGCCGCCGGTGGGGTTACACCTGGCCAGAGGCATGCATTACCTGCTGGTCCTATAAACATCTGAGTTTGCAACTCCATCCCTGAGTGTCAGATTTCCGAACTAAAAGTGGTATAGATAGGGTGATCACATAATGAGTTGCCCAAACTAGGATACCTGGAGAGTAAAAAGAGGTGGTATTGATACTCAGGCCAGGGTCACAGGTATAAACAAGGGCTGAGACAAATGAGGTACGCGGCCTCCCCGCCCGTAAAGTATGCCATTGAGCCCCTTCATTTTACTGAAAAAACCGAGACCTGTAAAGGGGAAAAACTGCCAATAGTAGTCACCGTGTGAGTTAATGACAGAGCTACCCTAAGAGCCCCGATTCCTGTGAGCACCATGTTCTCTGTGAAGGTGTTGGTTTTTACAGGTAGTAGTTATCACATAGCTAACTTTCTGTAAGAGCCTACAAACTACTGGGGTAGCTTACATCATCAATGGCATTTCTGTTCTGGACCTAATGAAGGGTTCAGACCGTAGCACACCCAGAGATGTTTAAAACAGTGGTGCTTGAGAACCAGAGTATAAACAAAAGTGAAACTTCTCATTTTACTAGGTACGACAGAAGATATATTTAGAAGTGCTAATTATCCAGGTTAGAAAACGCACACACACACACCAAAAATCCACCATTAAGTAAATATCTGATAACTATTGGGTTGTCAGAAAAATCATGACCCATTTTTGCATAGAAGAATATAGAAAAATACCTTGTGACTTTTCTGATGACCCAATAGCTTGCTAAAAATAAAAAAATAAAAACTTTGTGTTGGCTTCTTGATCATTGGCTATTGCCTGGTAATGAATATTAACTGTGTCTTTTTTTATTTTTTATTATTTTTTTAGAGGTTTTTGTTATAGGGCATGTGCTCTCGCCAGAAAGAGAGAAAGAGAGAAAGAAATCACCCGTCGGCGGGATGGCCAAGCCGCAATCTCTTCTCCTCCATTCTCGACTCTTGGGATCTTGGGCACGCACACACACACACGTGCCCGGCGTGAGTTTAAGCCACCGGGTCCGGGACTTAAACCACAGTTGACTACATGGGAGTTCAGTGACATAGCCATTACGCCAACTGCTAGTCCCTTTACTGTGTCTTCAAGAGCTATCCAAGATCTCAAATTCCCAAATCTTTTACCAGCTGTCTGCTGACCTGTTCAGTTTCTAGGAGATATTTACACAGCGAATATTCCAAGTGAGACCAGCACATGCTCGTAATCACTTGTGCGGACTCTGGCCCACATCCCCATCCGTCTCCCACCCCAGGGCACTGTGTAGGCCTCGGGATGCGTGGTAGCCTTCAGAGAAGATTGGGCCAAAGGTCAGCCTGAGGAGTCTCCTTCCAGTGCCTCACTCGGCTCCATCCAGGGGGCCCTGTAAACCAGAGAGCCATCTTACCATGTTTGCTACACACGATGGAGGGTAAAAGAAGAAAGCCCTTCTCGTCACGGCTGAAGGCAGAGCTGGCCCAAGTCGGCCACCCCGTTTCCTGTGCCTTGGAGTCCATGCTGGTCAAAATTCACTTCCCAAATGTGGGACCCTCACTCCAGCAGGAGACAGGGCCAAGGATGTCTGTGAGCACACGGGGCTCATCTGGCTGCGGAGAGCCGAGAACAAGTGATGTGAACAAACACCCGTCCCCTACTCAGCCCCAGTCGTGGCACCCTCCTCTAGTCCTGGAGCAACTGCCCTTTCTTCAACCTTCATCAGAGCTTCATGGGGGGCTCGATAGAGGAAAGGACCAGTAACCAGCCACGACCTCTAGACTCAAATCATAAACCGCACACGTGGGTGACCATTTCTCTAATGCACCTCAACACACTTTCACAGGATAAAGGTATTTTCTAAAATAATCCCTTTGTGTAAAACAGGCCTCTCGAGTTGTGCCGCCCCATAGCCAGAGCCTTTGAAGTGATGAAATTTTGGTGATATTGGCATACGTAAAAACTAATGCCAAATTAATTACATCTGTTCCTTCTCAGTTTTTTTTTAACTGATAGAGGGAGCGCATGCTTGCCAAAGAGAGTGCGAGAGACAAAGAAAGTACCCTTCAGTAGAGTGTGGTCACACTGCAACCCCTTCTCCCCATTTCTCCATCCTGTGGGCATCATGCCCAGTGTGTTTTTCAAGCTTCAAGGACTGGGATTTGAACCACAGTTGACCACTGGGATCTGGCTCCCTTTACCCACGAGGCCACAGGGCCAACCCTGATTTTACTTTTTAAATGTAATTCCTAGAAAAGCTAAAATGGCCCATCTTCCCAGTGCCATGTTCCCATGGGGCAGTGCTGTTCTAGAGGCGTGTGGCAGGTAGTGACATGAGGAAGAACGGCGTCACATGCTCGGGTAGCACAGTGTCCTCACATCACAAGTCTGGATGGATGGAAACTCCTAGTCTGCTGCTGCTGGAGCATGCCGGTTTATGAGCAAGGCTTCAGTGGTGGGGGCGGGAGTTCCTGACGGGCCTTTGTGTTTACGTTGCTACGAGAACATGGTGAGGGCGCCCAGCACATCCTTCAATAAAGATGAATTAAGTTTTTGCCATAGGGCTTGTGCACTCACCAGAGACAGACAGAGACCGTGAGATGGAATGTGAGAAATCACCCCCCGCATTGGGGATGGCCATGCCACAGTCCCTTCTCCCCTCTTCTGGGATTTGGGGTGCACACACATGTGCCTGGCATGATTTTCATGCCACCAGGTCTGGGACTCGAACTCCGGTTAAGTCCAGCGATGGAACTATGCCAACTGCTGGCCAATTTTTAAAAGGATGAGGTCCACATAGTGGCTCAGTGGTAAGGCAATGCTCTGCAATGCTGGAGCTACATGGGTGGGCCCCAGGTTCGCATCCCAAGGCCTCCTCGTACATCCTGTGAGCTGGGCTGGCTGAGGCTGGGGTGGATCATGGCATGAAGACCTGTTGGGGGAACCTTTCTCTCTTTTTCTCTCTGTCTCTGTCCTCTCAAGAAATAAAATTAATATACTTTTAAAAAGAACTAACCTCCTCCTCCATGTTTTCCAGCACAGCTTGTTGCCTGCGGTGCTCCCAAGGGGCCCGTTCTGACACCAGCTTTTAGGCCTCGATGCCATATCACGCAGAAGGCACGTGGGCCTGCAGTGCCGGCTGCGAGAGCCATATGGAAAAGGCATACCATACACATATGCGCAGAGGAAGCCAGAAGGCTCGAGAGCCGTGTGAATCCCATCTAGCGTCATCTTTTCCTTGCCTTTGAAGTTTTTAATCATCGAAATATCTTTAGGCCGTAAATAGAATCATGTAGTGAGATGGTTCTGAATTAAAACCAAATATGTACTTTTGTTTTTATATGGACGGGGACTGTGTATAGATGTATGAAAATGTAGCTTGAACATTTGGACACAGACGGGTTCGACTTCCCAGTGAAGTGTATGGAGAAGGCTGTCTCAGTGAGTGGATGGCGTATGTCAGTCTGCGCGAGCAGTTTTTCATCTGGAAGCAGAGAGTCCCTCCTACTCTAAATAGCTGGAGAGAAAGCGGTTTCTGTTTCCGCCCAGTTGAGGTGCAGAGTTCGCTCAGATGGCTGTCAGAGACTGATGGCCAGGGCCATTCTCTCGACCACACCTCCCACCGCAGAGAGAATGCAGCAATGGCCCCAGGAAGGGGTGGTACCAGTTGGGGCCAGGCTGCGGGCTGTTTTCTTCCTTTGCAGTAACCTCTTTTCTTCTTTTCTTTCCACTTCCTCTAGGCAGGACAGGGCTGCTTGCTGACCTCTTGCCCAGTTTTGCTGTGGAGATTATGCCAGGTACCCAGTCGTTGAACTCTTCATTGGCTTACTTTGCCCTTCTGTCTGTTTGCTTCTGTGTTAGTCACTAACTGCTTCTTCAATTGATTTGTGCATTTGTCATACATGTCTGTCCTCTTTTCTGGGATGAACAAAAGCCCATTAGAAGACGCTTTACCTTTTAGTTGTATTGTTTATGGGCCCTGTGAGAAGAATGATAGTTAAAAACCCGCTGAGACGGGGACAAGCCCTCCAGTGTGGGCACAGAGGCCCTTTGGCAGTCTCCGCACCCACCTCAGTGTCTCTGCTGTCCCCGACAGCACTGTCCTTACCCGGGTCGTTATCTGCAGCCCTCATTCCCTAAGCTACGTTTCACCTACTCATTACTGTAAACCATGTGACTCACAATTGTCTTTTATTATATTAGCTAAAATTCTTTCCATTTTAGGATACCTATGCCCCCCCCCTTGAAAAATGCACATTTACAGACTTACATTACTGTGTATGCAGTTTTAGGGACTTGCTAGGCCCTCTATGTAGCCCTAGAGAAGGACACCTGCCCAAATGTGCATCTCTGTCCTTCGTGTAGCTTCGGTTGGGCACACTGGCCTAGGCCAGCTCACATCAGTTTGCTGCAGCTCGATCGTCCCTAACTGCATGGGGCTCAGGGAGAAACAGGAGTGGATGATGGGAGGAGTCACACCCAAACTCAAGAACTGAGAAAGGATACGAGGGGGGCTTAAACAAATTAGGCAAAAAATGGAACTAACACCCATGTTTATTTTAATACAAAAGAAAACATTTGAAATCCATGCATGCATAGTTTTTTTCATAATTCACACTTTCCATGAACTCTTTGAAGACCCTGCCTCGCGCCAGTCAGTCTTGCTTTGGAGGGCGTCTACTGGGATTTAGGAGCTGCCTAATAGCAGACCTAGTCCTAGACAAAGTCCTAGCTATTGATTTGGGTTCAACTCAAGTTTTTAAGAAACCTCCAGAGTCAGGGCCAGCAGGTGATGTAGTAGTTAAGGCACTGGACTCCCACATGGCCAACTGTGGTTCAAGTCCCGGACCCAGGAGCTTGAAAATCATGGCAGCCATGTTTGTGTGTGAGCCCAAGATCCTGAGAGGAGAGTGGAAGAGAAGGGATTACAGTGTGGCCATCCCCCTGGGGGGCGATTTCTTCCCTCTCACTGTCTCTCTCTGTCTCTTGCCAGCAAGTGCTTGTGCCCTATGGCAAAAACCTTTTTTTTAAAAAAAATCCAGTCTTGAGACCAGCAGTTAGCATAATGGCTGTGTCTCTGGACTCCCATGTAGTCGACTACGGTTTAAGTCCCAGACCCGGTGACTTAAACTCACGCCAGGTGCGTGTGCGTGCGTGCCCAAGATCCTGAGAGGAGAATGGAGGAAAGAGAATTGTGGCATGGCCATCCCCCCGGGGGGTGCCGTGGCCACCCCCCCGGGGGGGGGGTGATTTCTCGCTTTCTGTCTCTCTGTCTCTCTCTGTCTTTCTGGCGAGTGCACGCGCCCTATAGAAAAAACCTCTCAAAAAAAAAAAAATCCAGTCTTCATAAATTATTGAAGAAATATTGTCTTAAGAATCAGCCGGAGCCTTACTTAGTTGAGCATCACTAATTATTCTTCCATGCATGCTGCCAGTCCAGTCCCCTCTGATTAGCTGGCCAGCCCAAACACGGGCGTTCTTGTTGAGGCTGTTCTCAAGGACACCAATAGGTGCCTCTTTGTGATCTCCTTAGCCAGCGTCTCTCAGTCCCTGAGCATTTGTTCATCACAATAAAACAGTGTTCCTTTGCAGTGCTCCAAAGTAGGGGTTACATCTGCCAGTCTCCAGAAAGAGTTACTGTGTTTCTCCTATCTGGCCCTTTAAATCTGAATGTCCCTTCCTTCTGACTCCAAGAATCCTTTCATGGATAATATTCTTTTGTTTCTGAAATATAAGAGGTTTTCAAGATATTCATGGAAAATGCTTATGGAAAAAAAGAACTCTGCATGGATTTCAATTTTTTTCACCCTAAAATAAACTTTTACGTTCCATTTTCTCACCAACTTTCTGGACTTCCCGTGTGTAACCTGCCCGTCTTATTCCTGACTGCCTGACCCGAGTTGTAGCCACCACGCCAAACAGCTCGTCTAAACCTCAGGGCTCGGTCTGTCTCAGGTCTCACTCGGTTAGGGTTATTGCTCAGGCCTAGGCCAAAGCCTTCTGCTATCTCCAGAGCATTCTGTCTAGGCTAGGCCTTCTCATCCCCTAAGGAAATGTAGTTCAGGCAGAGAAGTGAGGGGAACATCTAGCCACCAGAAGTTGGTTATTTCCTTTTTGAGGAAATTATGTTCTGAACAAAGGTCAAATAACTACATAGCATTGTCCCAAAAACCTTTATATAGCAAAAAATGTCATATTCTCAAGCTTCTTACTAAATGTCCATTTAATTGAAGAAATATTTAAAAACAGCAGTGTATACTCATGGTTCATTGTAAAGAGATTTTTAGAAGATAGCGTTCAGCCACAGTGAATCACTGTAGCCTTTTGGTTAGAATTCATTCATTTTGCTAGAGGGCATATGTGCTTGTCATGGAGAGAGAGAGAGAGAGAGAGAGAGAGAGAGAGAGAAAGAGAGAGAAAGAGAAAGCACCTCCAAAAGCAGGTGGCCATGCTACAACCCCTTCCCTTCCATTTCTCCTTTGGGTATTTTGGGCATGTCCAAGTGTGTCCTTCAAGGTGCTGGGTCTGAGACTTGAACCACATAGTCAGTCATGTGGAATCCAGCTGCCTTAATCACCATGTCACCAACTGGTCAGCCTTTTGGTTTTTAAAGGAGAGCGTGGTTCCCTCCAGTCTACCAGGCCTCTGGGGCGGTAAGTTGGATTTACAGCCACGCCCCAAGAGCCTGACACTAAGACAAGTCACCTGAAGACCACAGTTGTTTTATCGAAGCCAGATGGAACTTGATTCCTTTCTCTTCATCTTTTGCTTGGGCAAATGGGGCAGAATTTATGTCAGAGCCGGGGGAATAGTAGAAGTTAACAGGCCTGCCCCACCTACATGTCAGCTCTGCTGGCCACCAGCACTCTGAGCCGCATTAGCTACCGCGGGGCTGCTGCCTGGCTCTGTCACCCGAAGTTAACAGGCCTGCTCCACCTACATGCAGCTCTGCTGGCCACCAGCGCTCTGAGCCGCATTCGCTACCGCGGGGCTGCTGCCTGGCTCTGTCACCTTGAGTGTGACCAAACCAAACCCACTCTCTGGGCAAGGCGGTGGTGTCTTCTCTGAGGCTGTGTCTCTGGTCTCTAGCATGGTTGGCCATCTGTGTGAGCAAAGGTTTGAGTCTCAGCTCAGGTGCTGAACAGGAAAGATGTTATCGGGTGCTCCAGCTCAGCAGGGAAAGCAGGGCCTGCGTCACAGAAATACGGTCTGTGTTTCTGAGGGGACTTCAAAAAGTTCGTGCAAAAATGAAATTAAAATACAAGTTGATTTTGGTGTGAAAAAATTGAAACCCATGCATAATTTTTCATAATATGCATTTTCCACCAAGGTTTTGAAGATCCCAACACAGATATAAGAACATTTGTCAGGACTTAAACTTTTGTTTTTGCCATTGTGCATGTGTGCTCACAGGGGAGAGAAAGAGAGAGACAGAGAGGGACAGCGGGAACTCACCCCCAGCACATGGCCACGTCACAATCCCTTTTTCTCCATTCTTCTCTCAGGATTTTGAGTACACATGCACATGCATCCAGCATGATTTTTAAGCCATCAGGGCTGGGACTTGAACCACAGCCCACCGTGTGGGTGTCCAGCTCCTTAACCACCACACCACCTGCTGGTCCCAGGACTTACACTTGTATAGACAAGATTCACTTGACTACCAAAGACAGGTATGCAGAGAACCCACCACTTTGCAGCCCAGGAGGCATGGTTCCACTCCCTGTAGCCAGGAGTCTCTGTTCTTGTCTTATCCTGTGTGACCCCATGATTAATTTGGCAGTCTTTCCTCAGTGGAGACCTTGAAATTCTCCGTCGCTATATGCTGGTCATTATGTGTGCCCAATAGCACGTAAATCACCCTCCTCCCTGTTCTCCACTTCCCTGCTCCTGGGAGTCTACACATCTCTCTCAGAAGTCTTCTTGAGTTTGGGGGCTCAGTCCCCCATTAAGATGCTTTCCTCCCCAGGTCCCTCCCAGGCACCTCCTTCCACAGGGATATACCAGCACACACCCTGTCCGGAAGCAGAGCTGTCGCTAGTGTGCCTTTCTTTGTGGTCCTTCCAGAGTGGGTGTTTGTTGGCCTGGTGATCCTGGGCATCTTCCTCTTCTTCGTCCTGGTCGGGATCTGCTGGTGCCAGTGCTGCCCCCACAGCTGCTGCTGCTACGTCCGCTGCCCGTGCTGCCCGGAGACCTGCTGCTGTCCGCAGGCCTGTGAGTCCAGTAACCGGGGACAGATGTGCAGTGACCCAGACGGCCACCTCTCCATCTGACAACTGTGTGCCCAACTTTCTCCTCCACCTCCTTCCTTTCCATCCAGAAGGCTGGCTTCAGGGATGACCATTCTCGTCTGCCTCCCCACCTTCCTGCATTTGTGTTGGCCCCACCTCCCATGCTGCAGTTCTCACTGACTGTTGATGAAAGGAAGCACAGACTCAGGATGGCGAGGCTATGGACTAAGGCTGTGTCCCCTGCTCAGGGCATTTGGGCTGGTCATTGCCCTCCTGTGCAGAGACCCTCCCGTTTTCATAAGCAGAGTGTGCAAACTGGCACCACCCAGCCATGGCGGAGTTTAACTTACTGCCATGAGAAAATGGGCCACACCGGGGACTGGTCCTCACCCGGGGGTTCACAGCTTTGCGTTCCTGGCCAGGCCCAATAGGCATTCAGTGTGGTGCCCCTGCCTTAAGGCAGACACCCGGCTGGGAGGCACATGTGTCTTCAGCAGTAATGCGATTTCCAGGAGTCGAGTTGTTTGCTCTGCTTTTGAAAGCACAAAGCAGGAGCCCTCTGCAGCCCACTGCTTGGTCTCTCCAGAAAGGGTCTGGAATCTTCTGGAGGCCGCTTCGGGCAGCCCCTATGTCACGCCCCCCCCTAGAGGGGCCGAGGCAGCCCAGACAGCGTGGTTGCAGTGGGCTGCTCCTGTCACTGGGTGCTGCTGTGACAGCTCCCAGAAACACCTAATTACTCAAGTGCCAGGCCCCGAGCACTGTAATTCCCTAC